GGGGGCAATTTTGAGGCCTCTTGGGGGCCGTTTTGAGGCCGTTTTGGGACCTCTTTTGGGCCTCTTGGGGGCCTCTTGGGGCGGGCCTCTGGGCGGGAGGCTCGGATTTTCGGTTCGTGTTTTTTCTCTTGGGTCCCTTTTGGGGCCATCTTGGGGCCCTCATGGGCCGTCTTGGGCGCCGCCTGGGCCGTCTTGGGGCGCTTTTAGGACGTCTGGGCTATTGGGCTGTCTTGGGGCGATGTTGGGGGCTTCTAGGGCGGTCTGGGAGCGTCGGAAAGCCGAAAAGGCGAGATCGCTGAAATCGTTCAAAAACCAGAGACTAATTAATGATTTCGGCCTCTTGCGCCCCCCTTGGGAGGCCTCTTGGAGGCCTCTTGGGCCGTCTGGGGGCTATCTTGAGCGTCTTGGAGCGAACGTTCGGCGACTCGGGGCCCTCTTGGACCGTTTTGGGGTTCTCTTGGGGCCCTCTTGGCCCGTCTTTGGGCCGAAAAAGCCACACGTCAAGCCGCGACGGGGCCCAGGGGGCACGCGGGAATTCCAGGAGAATTTGTAATTTAGGCTCTGGACCCTTCTTAAAACCCCGTCAGGAGTGAGGATTGAGGCTTCGAGGATTTAACTAAGGACTGGGGGACACGCCCACTCCGTGCCCAGAAGCACGTCAGCGGATCCATCCCATTTTCTTAAATGTAAATCGATGTACAAATGTATTTTGTACGTGTACACACTATTTGTATTTTGGTTGGCCTCGCACCCCCTTCTCGATTATGGTGCAAGTCCTCTTACCAGGGTAGAACAATGTGTAATTATCCAGCTGCCTGCGGCGAGTCCAGCCACCCTGGCGGTCGAGCATTCTGAGTGGCGACAGTCGAGGGGGCACGTGAGGCCGTCACGCATGACACTTCGTGTCCCCAAGCTTGGGAGAGCCCCGATGAGGATGCTGCTGCTGCTGCTGCTGCTGCTGCTGCTGATGATGATGATGATGATGATGATGATGGTGATGGTGATGATGATGATGATGATGATGATGATGATGGTGGTGGTGGTGGTGGTGATGATGAATATGATGATGATGATGATGATGATGATGATGATGGTGATGATGATTGTGAGGAGGAGGAGGAGGAGGAGGAGGAGGAGGAGGAGGGCCGCCACATGTGTCACTTTTCGTCTTCACTTCTTGAGTTGCACTCTTACAGACAGCCATTGGTATTCTACCACGCCTCAATGTGCCAGGGGGCACGGTGTCGGATTTAGTATCGTGCCAGCTAAAAATGAACATTGCAGCCCGTGCGTGAGTGTCTTGCCAGGGGCGGGGAGAGAAGGACACCATGATGTACTTGGGACGTCTCGGGGGCCCGACTTCCCAGGGTAGGACAGGCAGTTCCGTTTCGTGGGAGGTGTGCCTCATCGAGACGATTTTGTCCCGACACCGACCCCAACCAGGTGGGGCAAGACTTCTGATGTTCTAACCTACTTCAGCCTCGACCGCCAGAAAGAATGTCGAGCACCAAGGAAATACCGAAATTTGATGTTTTTCACGTGTCGGTCCCTGGTATGCGATACTCGTTCGACACTGGTTCGATACTTTTCTGGGTGCTCGAAATTATTTCAGGGATGTGGTCCTTACGTACGATAGGAACAGCATAAGGCAAGACCAGCTCATGCGGCTGCTGCTCTTCATCCTGCCTTACCTCCTGATTCATCGGTGTTTGTTCAAGCGGGAGGGGCTACTATTTTGTTTGGAACGGGGTTTTCGAGACCTTTTCCCTAAACGGTGCTTGCACTTAGGGATTCTCGCTGCTGCTGCTGTAGGAAACTGGATGTGTTTGCCGGGCTTTCGCCACGTTGCCGCCCGTGCCGCCTCTTCGGCGCTCGTGGGCGCCCCGTGCGCTGGGTGTTTTTTTTTGTGAGGTTTTCACCACGTTGCCGCCTGTGCCGCCTGTGCCGCCTCTTAGGTGGGGATACGCCCAGAGGTGTTGCAGCATTCGTGGTTGTGGTTGTGGTGGTGGGCCACTGACTTGCCTGCAGAGTTCAGGTGGTGGTGGCGGTGGTGGGAACACTTCCGCTCTTCAGGCCTGGTGTGCCGATGATAAGAGTTCGGAATGCTGAACATATGTGTGCTGCACACGCTGTGCCACAGAAGTGCTCGTAAGGCGGGTCTCGCTCGTCATGACGTGACGGTGCGAGCGGCCTTGCCCTCGCGCGCACCAGCTTCGTGGTCGGGCGACAACTGCATTCTATCCACGCATTCTTGCTGGTTCCACGGCTTGGCACAAGAGCTTTGGCTCGAGTGCACCGCCCCATGGTGAAGGGGACGAGGTGCAGCAGAAGTTTGGAGGAGGTTCGGTCCAGTTGTCCTCGAGGGCGCGAGTGGATCTCAGGCCTGCCGGGTGAGCGCCACCACCCGTGGATGTGCCAGTCGGAGCTGGAGGAGGCGGAGGAGGAAGCGGATGCGGTTGAGCAGGGGGAGGATAATTCAAGATTGGGGTGTGTGCAGAGGCAGCGGAGGATAAGGATTAGGTGGTATGACGGAGAATGGAGCATGTTATATCCATACATAAAGAGATATAGATCAAATGACAAGGCGTCCAGGTGATCATGGGGATCGGATTATGGCGATGATGACGATGATGACGCCCATCTTGACGGTGACAACGATGCTGCTGCTGCTGATGATAATGATGGTGATGGTGATGGTGATGATGCTGATGATGCTGCTGTTCATGATGATGCTGATGCTGCTATGGTGATGATGATGATGATGATGATGACGATGATGATGATGATGATGATGATGATGACGATGATGATGATGATGATGATGATGATGACGATGATGATGATGATTCTGATGATGATGATGATGATGAGGATGAGGATGATGCTGTTACTTCCTATGATGCTGATGATGATAATGCTGATGCTGATGACGATGCTGATGATGATCATGATGATGATGGTGATGATGCTGATGATGCTGCTGCTTATGATGATGATGCTCATGATGATGTTGATGATGATGAGCTGCTGATGAGCTGTTGATGGAGAGGAGGATGAGGAGGACGAGGACGAGGACCAGTGTAAACCCAAGACACATCAACGATGCTGCCGTAAACGCTCCTTCCGAGTTCGCTTTCATAGATCCCGACAAGAATAAGTCTCCACAGCGAGAAGTGGTCCGTTGGAAGACACCTGTCTGAGAATCCTGAATCGTGTCCGAGCGCCGTTCCTGGGACTTCAGCGCTGCGAATCAAAGTTAGTGCTGCGTCTCGACAATCCTGCATCGTGACAGATAACCTTGCCTGGGACTTCAACACTGCGAGTCAGCGTGACTGTTGCGCCCTGACAATCGTGCCGGAACACCATTCCTGGGACATCAGCCATACGAATCTTTCATGATACTCCTTGCACATTTGTAACCCGAATGGTGGAGGAGGACCGGTTTAAACCAAGACCCACCAACGATGTTACAATAAACCTTACCTCCAAGTTGCGCATTCGCAGCTCCCTACAAAGACGTATTTTCACTGCAGGAAGTGCTCCAGATCTGCAACCATGGAAAGCACCATTCTTGGGACTTCGTGTCAGAGCACTGTCCCTGGGACTTCAATATCGCAAACCATCGCGACTGTCGCGTCCTGACAATCCTACGTCGTACCACAGCACCAGTTTTGGTACGTCAGCGATAAGAATCCTTGAAATTGCTGTAAGCTGTTAGGACGAATGCTCGCGGCGCGCAAGCGAGAGCCACATTTTGGAAATGAGCCGCCTTTTATCCGTGAAGCTCGTGCAAATTTGCGAGGCGAATGTGCGTGGCTTTTCAGCGAGAACCGCAGTTTGAAAGCGCGCAAGCAAGCACGCAAGCAAGCAAGCATTGGAATTAGGTGGCGGGGGGGTGCCACTGGCAAAAGGGGGGGGGAGGGGGGTGCCATTGGAAATAAGGGGGGGTGCCATTGGAGAAAGGGGGGGGCCCCAAAGACCAAGAACTTATGATGAGCTAGGACTCCTATAGGGCAAGCCTATTTGGAGAAGAGGTGGAGGAGCGCTCAGGGGTGGTGCAGAGGCATAGGCATAGGCATAGGCATAGGAGCGCTCAGAGGTGGTGCATAGGCATAGGCATAGGCATAGACATAGCCATAGGATTGGGGGGGGGGGGTCATAGGAATACGGAGGGGGGGGGCAACGGACCAATTAGTAGGGTTTGAAATAGAACTCCTATAGGGCAAACCTATTTTGAGAACATCGTAATAACGATAAGACTGCGAACAGACATGCGAAAACTAATAATAGTACAGAGAATAAACATGCACACAACAGTAGTAATACTAACCTGGAGAACAATCATAGTGATACGACCAATAAGAATAACCAGATGGACACTTCCACTAATGATAATAATACTGATAGTATTAGTTTCAATGCGAATAATACGAGTAGTACTAAGAATGGTAATACGAATGACAATAATAGACATGCTAATACTAGTAATAAGACAAATCATGCGGATCGGAATAATAGTCATAGTAAGAAAACAGACGACTAATCAGCAGACGCTCACTATTAACAATTATAATGCTATTAACAAGACTATTACCAATACTAATATTATTAATCGCAATAATAATACGACCAATCCTAATAACACAGAAATTATACGACTAAGAATAACCATTATAATACTAAATCATATTTATAGTAATAATATCAACATTCGTCGTAATGATAGCTAGCACAATAAATAAAAGGAAGCATATAACGAGTACTCATAATAATAGGAGGAGGAGAAGGAGGATGAGAAGGAGGAGGAGGATTAGGATGAGTGAGGGGGAATGGGGGAGGAGGGGATTCAGGAGGAGTCAGGAGGAGGGCGGATGACTTGAGCAGTGGAACTGAGGATGAGTCGACCCGACAGAAGCTGAAGGGGAGGCGGAGGAGCCCTTAAAGCATCCAAGCCGGGCTCGTCCCTCGCCGTCGCCGTCGCTCCTGCGGGGCCTGCCGAGGGCGCCGACGAGGTCGTGGCTGGATGGCCCGTCGCCGGCACTCGGCGTCGGCGTGGGCCAGCTCGAGCCAGCGCGACCGTTGGCCTTCCCCCTGGGCGCTGGGCTGAGGCGGCCGGGCTTCAGCTCTCGCGCGCCGAAATGTTGATCGGTACGATCGATGCCCAGAGCCGCGACGTCGTTTTTTTTCGCAACGTCGACCCCGGGGGGGGGTCCAGACCTCAAGGGGTCGAAGGATCGCTCCGCATCGACGATGCCTCGACGATGCGGCTCGATGTGGAGCCAGAGCTTCTCGATGCCGATGGCGCCGATGCATCGGCGATGCATTGGCGATGCGGCGCGATCCTCCGACCTCATCTAGGAGGCCCGAACTTCCCCGTGGCCCAGCGAGGGCCCCGAAAGGACGAGATTGTGAGAAACTTCCCGTTATGATTTCTTCACAACGCGAGGATGTCTGGGAAGGGGATACGGAAAGAGGTGCGACGAAAAGCTGCAGCAGGTCCTGCCCGTTTTGGGCAGGGCTCGCAGTCGGCGTCGCCACGGGCGCTGTCCGTTTGAGACAAAGTCGCGTGCCCAGCAGCGGCCACTGTTTTTCGGGGCAACATTGGGCATCGTGCCCGTGCTGGGTGCGCCAAGCAGGAGAGGCTGCGCGTCCTTCCCAACGGCGCCTCGTGGCGTGGCATTGCGACACGTTGAGCGCCGCCGCTGGCCACTGGGACGGTCCTGTGCGATGCCTCCACAGGTGTCTTGGCTTCGGGGATCTGCGGAGGCCCCGCGAGGGCCCTCGGGAAATTTCACCGACGCAGGGGTGCCGTTGGCAGAATTGGACGGGAGCAGCCGGCTTCTGAGAGTGCGGGTCCCAAGAATATGCACCATCACCACGTCGATTCCTCCATCCTCCTCCACCCTCATCCTTCCTCTCCTCTTTCCTGGAGGAGGGAAGGGATGAGGGAGGTGGTGGCGGTGCATACCTTTGGGCCCCGCAGAGAGAGCCACCCAGGAGCCTCGCCAGGCATGCGGGACGATGGCGCGGGACGGTCCTGCTTGCACTGGCAAAGTGCCCAGCGGCGCCCGGCCGTCTTGGAGCGTCGGAAACCTGAAAATGCGAGAAGGCTCAAACCTCCCAAAACCAACGGAAAATCAATATTCGCTCTTGGGCCTTCTCGGAAGCATCTTCGGCCCCTTTGGGCACTTTTTGCGCCGCTGCGCTACCTGAGGACGCGCGCGACACGCCCGGGGAAACCCGGGGAATGCCCAGAAATCCCGGGGAATCCCGGGAAATCCCAGGAAATCCTGGGAAATCTTCGTGAAACAGGTGGCCCGTGTTCTTATAACATGTTTAAACCTTACAACTCTGAGCTTGTCAGGGCTGCATGAGCTTTGGGGCACTCTACTACGTCCTGCAGGCACGGTGGCGGATGATGCAACAGCTACACGGGTGGAGGGCGGCTCGTTTTCATAACCGCATGCCCCGGATAAGAAAGCATACCCCCCCTTGACCCCTTGACCCCTGAGAGTTGATGATCCCAGGCCAAGGCAGAGTTGGTCGGGGGAAAGGTGCGGCGAGGCCGAACTTCATTTTCGTGGGGGAAAGTACGAATCGAAGTTGCTATCCTCTTCTGTTGAGTAGAAACACTATCACGAACGTGTGGCAGGGAAATGGGATTTTCATTACTTCAGCGTGCCAAACCCACGAACGTGTGGCAGGGCCATTGGATTGGATTCTCACCATTTGAGCTTTCCCAAGTCACGAACGTGTGGCAGTGCCGCAGGATTGTCATCATTTCCGCTTTCCCAGTTCACGAACGTGTGGCAGGCCAATAGGAATCTAACCATTTTAACCTTCCCAGGTCGCGAACATGTGGCAACGCAGTCTCTATACCATACGAATATCATCGTACATGCGAGTTGCCAGGACCATGAACTTATCATCCCGCCCGAGCTCCGAACTTTCTTATCCCCACCCTGTGATTTTCATGGGCATCGTGTCAATGGGCTCTCGCTTGAGACATCTGGATGGGTTTTGAGCAGGACTTTTGGAACTTTGCAGCACTTGCGCGGATGGACGGCAGATCCTGTTCTGGGGAGGGAGGAAGAGAGGGGGGGAGGGAGGAGGAACAGGAGGAGGAGGAGGAGGAGGAGGAGGAGCATGGGCTCGCGGTGCTTCTTCTTCTTTTTCTTCTTCGTATTCTCTCCCCTTCTTCTTCTTCTTCCTCCTCCTCTTCCTCCTCTTCCTCCTCTTCTTCTTGCTCCCCTTCTTCTTCTTCTTCTTCTTCCTCTTCCTCCTCTTCCTCCTCTTCCTCCTCTTCTTCTTGCTCCCCTTCTTCCTCTTCTTGTTCTTCTTCAGCCAGAAGAGGAGGAAGGAGGCCGGCTCCTCTACAGGACGGAGTCTCGCTCGATGGGCAGGCCCACCGGGCCGCTGCGCTCGTCACTCGGCGGAGGGGGGGTACGCTCCCCACAGTGCAGTGGATAGGGGGCCGCATGCGAACCCTACCCCCACCCCCCACGATTTCTGAGGGGGGGGGGGGGGTAGGGTTCGCAAGTGGCCCCCTAGCCGAGGTATGCGATCGAGGTCGGTGCGGGAAGGGTACCCTTAAGTCGGGCCTGTTCCCCTCTACAGGAGGAATATTCGAACATAGTAACAATTATCCCGGCAACGCAACCTAACAGCGATGTGTAGGAGCATATCTGGAAGCATTCCCCTTAAGATTCAGATGATAATCCAGTTGTAGAATTCTGCTGTTCTCGCAGTCGTAGTCGCATTCGCGATGACAGTCGCAGTGGCAACGGCAGTCGCAGTCACAGCCTCAGCCTCAGCCTCAGCCTCAGCCTCAGCCTCCTCAGCCTGCTCAGCCTCAGCCTCAGCCTGATCAGTCAGTCTGCCTTCAGCCTCGGCCTCAGCCTCAGCCTGCCTCAGCCTCAGCCTGCATCAGCCTCAGCCTCAGCCTCAGCCTGCCTCAGCATCAGCCTGCCTCAGCCTCAGCCTCAGCCTGCCTCGCCTCAGCCTCAGCCTGCTTCAGCCTCAGCCTCAATCTGCCTCAGCCTCGGCCTCAGCCTCAGCCTGCCTCAGCCTCAGCCTGCATCAGCCTCAGCCTCAGCCTCAGCCTGCCTCAGCATCAGCCTGCCTCAGCCTCAGCCTCAGCCTGCCTCAGCCTCAGCCTCAGCCTGCTTCAGCCTCAGCCTCAGTCTGCCTTCAGCCTCGCCTCAGCCTCAGCCTGCCTCAGCCTCAGCCTGCATCAGCCTCAGCCTCAGCCTCAGCCTGCCTCAGCATCAGCCTGCCTCAGCCTCAGCCTCAGCCTGCCTCAGCCTCAGCCTCAGCCTGCTTCAGCCTCAGCCTCAGTCTGCCTTCAGCCTCGGCCTCAGCCTCAGCCTGCCTCAGCCTCAGCCTGCATCAGCCTCAGCCTCAGCCTCAGCCTGCCTCAGCATCAGCCTGCCTCAGCCTCAGCCTCAGCCTGCCTCAGCCTCAGCCTGCTTCAGCCTCAGCCTCAGTCTGCCTTCAGCCTCGGCCTCAGCCTCAGCCTGCCTCAGCCTCAGCCTGCATCAGCCTCAGCCTCAGCCTCAGCCTGCCTCAGCATCAGCCTCAGCCTCAGCCTCAGCCTCAGCCTCAGCCTCAGTCTGCCTTCAGCCTCGGCCTCAGCCTCAGCCTGCCTCAGCCTCAGCCTCAGCCTGCCTCAGCCTCAGCCTCAGCCTCAGCCTGCAGCCTCAGCCTCAGCCTGCAGTCAGCCTCAGCCTTCAGCAGCCTCAGCTGCCTCAGCCTCAGCCTGCATCAGCCTCAGCCTCAGCCTCAGCCTGCCTCAGCATCAGCCTGCCTCAGCCTCAGCCTCAGCCTGCCTCAGCCTCAGCCTCAGCCTGCTTCAGCCTCAGCCTCAGTCTGCCTTCAGCCTCGGCCTCAGCCTCAGCCTGCCTCAGCCTCAGCTTGCATCAGCCTCAGCCTCAGCCTCAGCCTGCCTCAGCATCAGCCTGCCTCAGCCTCAGCCTCAGCCTGCCTCTGCCTCAGCCTCAGCCAGCCTTCAGCCTCAGCCTCAGTCTGCCTCAGCCTCGGCCTCAGCCTCAGCCTGCCTCAGCCTCAGCCTGCATCAGCCTCAGCCTCAGCCTCAGCCTGCCTCAGCATCAGCCTGCCTCAGCCTCAGCCTCAGCCTGCCTCAGCCTCAGCCTCAGCCTGCTTCAGCCTCAGCCTCAGTCTGCCTTCAGCCTCGGCCTCAGCCTCAGCCTGCCTCAGCCTCAGCCTGCCTCAGCCTCAGCATCAGCCTGCCTCAGCATTCAAAATGTGTCCCAGGAATGGAGTTCTGGGAACTCGAAGAACACGAAGTGGCCTACAGTTGGCTCCAGGCATTCAAAATCATGCCCAGGAATGGAGTTCTGGGAACTCGAAGACCACGAAGTGGCCTACAGTTGGCTCCGGGCATTCAAAATCATGCCCAGGAATGGAGTTCTGGGAATTCGAAGACCACGAAGTGGCCTACAGTTGGCTCCGGGCATTCAAAATCATGCCCAGGAATGGAGTTCTGGGACCTCGAAGACCACGAAGTGTGTATTGTTTGCTTAAAACGACTTCCGCGGCTTCTCCCCGGCACCCGCCCAGACCCCCCTGGGGAGTCAAGATGCTTTCTTTTGACACTACTAGAAGCCTATCAGTCTTCGCTGTTAGGTAAAAATAGTCTGGGGACGATTTTGTGAGCATTTTTTGGCCATTCTGGTGTATTTTTTGACATTTTTTTTCCTCCCCAAATCCCCCTGTAGGGGGACAGGCCCGACCTCAGGGTACCCTCGTGGTCTTCGTGCTCGTTGGCTTCGGTCTCGTTGAACCGATCCCTGTCCCCATCCGCATCCACATCTCGAGCCCCACCGTCTCACCACCTCAGTCGGGGATGAGCCCCTCGAAGCCCGAAGAGAGCAGCTTGTATCCCCCGTCCCGGGGGTTAAATCGGCCAGTGGGGCCCAGCCCACGCTGGTGGGGATGGGGATCGGTTAAACGATACTCATGGATATTCTTGTGCATCCTGGGAGAGGGTTCCCTCGATGGACCTTGCGTTTTGGGGTGTTTTGGCCGGCGGAGGGTCTCATATCCTTGAGGGATGATCTGCCGTCTTAGGTCCGACCGTAAATCTTTAGGAGGAGTGGGCTTGGGATGGGGGAGTGTCTTGCAGCGTCGTTGTTGCGTCCTGGGCTTACTCTGGTCCTGCCCCCCCTGTCTCCCCGTGCTCCTCCTTCCCCCCCTCCTCCCCCTCCTCCTCCTCCTCCTCCTCCTCCTCCTCCTCCTCCTCCTCCTCCTCCTCCTCCTCCTCTCCCCCTTCCCTCCCCCCTCCCTTTCCTGCCTTTTCAAACATGAGGAGAGGCTGGGGAGCGGACGAGTAAGACATGCATCGGTCTGGGTGCGTTTGAGGTCAGGGGCTCTGGTGCCTGACGTGAGGTGTGCTGAAGTCGTGGGGTGTCGCTTGGCCTCGCGGGCTTGATGCCGCTGTGGGCTTCACACGGTTGAGTTGTTTTCGCAGCAACGAATGCTGTCTTCGAGTTAGGACTTGACGCAAATCCGCGTCCAAATGCATCCTCACCGCTCTCTCCATCCCCCCGCCGCTTTACCCCTCCCCCCTCCCCACCGACCAGATGATCCTGTGACTTCTCGGGAAGGTAAGGATGTTCCTCCTCCTTCGCTTTCCTAGTGACTGCATGAACAACTTTTCGCCTCTCCGCGCTGCTTTCTTCGATAGGCGCTGGACCCATCTCCCTGGCGCGCGGAACGCGCCAGTGGCGGCGCGGCAGGCGCAGCCAAGGGGGTCCATCGCCGATCCAAGAAATCCGCGTGTGCCTTCGAAAGTTTATGTTTCTGCCGCTCTTGTTCAGCGGAGGAGGAGGGGGAGGAGGAGGAGAGGGGGGGAGGAGGAGGAGCAGGAGGAGCAGGAGGAGGAGGAGGAGGAGGAGGAGGGGAGAGGACGGAGGAGAGGGAGGAGGAGGAGGAGGAGGAGCAGGAGCAGGAGGAGGAGAAGGAGGAGGAGGAGGAGGAGGAGGAGGAGGAGGAGGAGGAGGAGGGGGAGGAGGAACGACCTCCAGGGACCTCACGGGACGACTCTATGGCCTGCTCTGCACTGCCCACCTGCTTGCCCTGCACCCCGCTCAGTGCCTGAGAGGCCGCCTGCGCTCCCTTCGCTCCCCGATCCTCGGCGGTTGGGCCTGGCCCCGTTTTCCCCTCTGCGGCCTTCCTCTTCTCCTCCTGACCCTCGCGCGCCTCGAGCCCGGCGCGCCCCGCCGGTACCCGTCGCCGCGCCTGCGGTCGCCGGCGCTGCCGATAATAGCAGCTTTTGCCGCTGGTGCCAGAGGAGGGGTGCCTCCTTCGCCCGAGATCCTCCAGCAGCTTTTGCCGCTGGTGCCAGAGGAGGGGTCCCTCCTTGGTGCCAGAGGAGTGGTCCCTCCTTCGCCCGAGAGCCTCCGTGCCCCCCCCACCCCCCGCGGAGAGGAGCCTGTCGCCGCCCTGCGGGCACCAGGTGCGGGCCCACTCGCCCAGCGGTGCGGTCATGAGCCCGGTGGCGCCAGGCCCGGGAGGGAGAGGAGGAGGGGATGGGTTGGGGTGCATGGGCAGGGAGGAGGGGGAGCACGAGGGGGGGTGACGGGAGATGGATGGGAGGATGATGATCGTGAGGAATAGGAAGGGGCGTGCGGGGGGGGTGGAGGATGAGGGGGATGAAGGGGGGGAGGAGTGGGAGAAGGGGAAGGATGATGATGGGGATGAGGAGGAGGAGGAGGAGGAGGAGGAGGAGGAGGAGGAGGAGGAGGAGGAGGAGGAGGAGGAGGAGGAGGAGGAGGAGGAGGAGAGCCATTGTGGCCCCTGCGCACGGGTGCTGCCCACCACGTCAGGGAGCGGGGGCTGGCCCAGGCGCGTCGTCCGCCACGCGGTGGACGGCGCGCCGTGCGATATGCTCCCCACCAAATACTTCATGGTCCACGTGACATGCAGAACGGTCAAAGGGAGCATCACCACTGCCACCGTAGCGCACACTAAGTTCCACGCGGCCGTCATCAGTTTCGGCATGAGAAGTATCCCAGGTACAACAGAAATCAAGACAGCGAAACCGACCCGCCCTGGTGGACACCTACCGGCAAATATGCCGCGACCACACGCGCACGGAGGGGGGAGGACGGGAGCGAACAAGCGTGGCCCCAAAACGGGTAAGGTACACGGCCCCACATGGGATACAAAGGCGATCCGACGACATCATTTTCATGGCCACGGCCACTCCCGCGATGGCGTCTGAGTGCGACATCAAGTTTAAAGCAAAGCGCGACAGCAAATACGACATAACGTACGATCATATAAGGTATGATAGCAGGCACGACGCGACCGAGTAGCCCGAAGGTAAAACCATGTTCATCGTCGTGGAGATACCCAGGGACTACGGCTACGCCGCCTACGACGATGATCACCACGACGCTTACAACGGGCACAACGACTACAACGGCTACGACGACCACGCCACGTCTGGCTTTCTCACCCTGCCGCCCATCATTCAGGTTTTTTCGAGAGCCGCCAGCAGAACTTCGAGGGCCACCAGTAGAGCCACGAGGGCCACCAGCTGAGCTTCGACGGCAAGAAGCAGAGCCTCCAAAGCCAATGCCTGATCTTTGAGGGCCACCAGCAGAGCTTCAACGGCAAGAAGCAGAGCTTCAAGACCCACCGACCGAACTTGGAAGGCAATTGGCAGAGGTTCGACGCAAAAGGCAGACCTTAGGGGGCCACCAGCTCAGCTTCCAGAGCTATCAGCTAGGCTTGGAGACCCACCAGCAGGGCTACTAGGGCCACAGTTCGAGCTACCAGGGCCACGCGCAGAGCTAATAGGACGACAGGCTGAGCTTCGAGGACCACCAGCCGAGCTGCGAAGACGACGAGCAGAGCTTCGAGGACCACCGGCTGAGCTACGAGAGCTACGGTCCGAACTGCGAGAGCCACCGGCGCCGGCCTTCCTGCCGCCCGGCTGGAACAGCTACCTCGACCAGCAGGGGCGACGCTGCTACCGCCTCGCGGCCCTGGACATGACGACGTGGGCGCCGCCTTGCATCATGCCCGCCTATGCTCGTAGCTGCTTCAAGAAGCCGCCGCACCGCGGAGGCATGCGGGGAGGAATGCGCCGACGAGAGCGACGCGGAGGGTGGTGACGGGCACGGCGTGCACGAGGAGCGACGAGCAGAGCTAGGCCCGAGCAGAGCTACGAGGGCCAGCAGGCTTCCAAGAGCGTCTAGCAGGGCCACGAGGGTCACCTGCTGAGCTACGAAGGCCACGGGCTGAATTGCGCGGGCAACAGGCAGACCTTCGAGGGCAACCAGCTGAGCTTCAAAAGCGAACTACCGAGCTGCGAGCACCACGAGCTGAGCTACTCGGACAGCGTGCAGAGCAGCGAGGGCCAGCTGAGCTACCGGGGCCGCCAGCAGAAGTGCGAGGATAACCTTCTGCGCTTCGAGGGCCACCAGCAGAGCCACGCGGGCGCCCGGCAGAGCTGCCAGGGCCACTTGCAGTGCTTCGAGGGCCACCGGTAGAGCTACGAGGGCCACCTGCTGAGACAGAGGGCCACGGGCTGATCTGCGCGGACGCCGGGCGGAGCTTCGAGGGCCGCCAACCGAGCCATCTGAGCCCGCGGAATTCCGAGAACCCGAGGACTGACAGAAGAGCTCCAAGGGCCACTGGCAGTGCTTCAGGGGCCGCCGGCTGAATTGCCAGTGCCGCCTTCCGATTCGCGAGAACCGCCGCCAGAAGTACAAGGGCCACCTGTGGAACTGCCAGGAGGGCAAACCGCTCAGCTACGAGGGTCACTTCGGCAACCAGCTGTGCCGCCAGGGGCGGCCGCTGGGCTTCGAGAGCTACCGCCAGAGCTACGACAGCCACCTGCGGATCCATCAGGGACACCAGCTAAACTACGAGGGCTGCGAACGGCAACTCCGGCCACCAGGTGAACGACGAGGGCCGCGAGCGGGGCTGCGAGGGCCACCAGCAGAGCTCCCAGGGCCGCCTGAGCTACGAAGGCAATCAGCCGAGATGCGACGGCCACCCGAAGAGCTCCCGCCACGCGATCCACGC